TATTCATAATCTGCTTGAATCTATTAATTTTATTTCAAGATCAAATTCATTATTTACAGCCACGGGGTCTAAACCCAATCCTTCGCCAGCAGATCACATCGTACACTACCTCCAGTGTTTTCTGCTGTGTATTGCCAATAATAGTTATGTCACCTTTATCTTCATTCGCAGCAAAACCCAGACACACCTGTTCTTCGCTCGCTATAAACACAGACCCTGTCACGTCCAACTTCACGATCACCCCACCTCCGAACGACAACGATATCGTCGGAATGTAGACAACTTTCAACCCTCTCAGATTGTAGCACGTATCCAGTAACCCGAGCGGATCCGCTTTCGGGTACCTCGACATCTGTCTCCGGAACTCGTCTCTCAGGGGACCGTACGCTGCCGTAGGGAGCCTGGTGATGACGGTGCCGGAGTCGATGATCGTGCCGGAGGAGAACACGGAAGCCGAGATTTGGAGATCGACGCGGGCCACGGATATTCCGATGAAGTCAAGGCCGTACAAGGAGGAGCCCTTGGAGATGGAGGACAGCGGAGTGAATTTGACGTTGCGGGAGGAGAATCTGGCGCCGAAGGCGATGTAACCGACGGTGCTTGGCGTAGAGGGGAGGCAGTAGGAGAAAATTTTCCCGTACTTTTCGGCGGTTTGTCCTACGAAAGAGAGGGAATTCCGACCGAGGCCGAGCAATCCTGCGACGCCGCGGAAGAGACCTTGGTTGTTCTGGCCGCAGCCGAAGAGAAAGTCGTCAACGACATTGGTGGAAGATAAGGTCAGTTTTTCCTTGGCGAAGTAGCCAGTGGAGAAGGATCTGTCGCCGTATTGAACACCATATATGCAAGCTCTCGTTGAAGCAGAACATGCCGGCCTCAACTCCTGGAGACATGCATAAGAGAGTAGGTATATGTATGAACGGAATAAGAGAGAAATGAAGATGTGATGATGATGATAATAAGTATACCTGTTGCAGAGACTAGCTGGGAACACTGAGAAGAAGAGCAAGAGACATTGGAGTAAGAAGAAGATTGAGAAGGATCGAAGATGGGTTCCTTCTGGGCATAGCAAGAGCCAGCACAGGGCTTACATTGAGTCCAAGTGATGTCACTGCCTGTGTCGAAGACGATAGACAGATCTCTCTTGGGGGTACCCAGCCCCACCGTGACGAAGTAGTTTCCGGTACCGAGAGGGATGCCAGACTTGGCCGGCAGCTGCACCCGGTCCAGCCCCTTATTGTTTGAACCGGTCTCTTCTTGGTGGATCTGTAATGTCTTTGAAAGCTTGGATTGGATTGCCCTCACTCTGGCTTCGTCCTGCTTCAAGATCTCACTGTGTGGTATGATGAATGAAGAAGATGATGATGATGAAGGTTTCTTCAGCTTTGAACATGGTCCATGCTTGTGTACCACTTCCATGTGTCCATTCCTCTTTGAACCTGTTCCTGGTGTATGATAACTTGAAAAACTCTATTATTTCCCCCCCCCCCCCGAAATTATTCTCAATCTTCAATTTTTTGAAGTTTAATTTCAGTTTTTATTTTTTAATATTATTACGTCATTGAAAGTCAATCTCTGACTATACTTATCTCGTTTCTAATGATATGCCACTGATACCTTGTTCGTATCAGTTTGATTAATTTATTATCTTAATGAATGACCAGAAAGTACTGTTTGTGAGTTCTAGAAAGAAAGAACACACACACGTTGGTTGGACTATTTTTTTTTTTAAGAAAATATAAGTTAAACCATTTCATAACAATAAATAACAATTCTGTGTATGGCCAAAAAAAATTGTGAAGTGAAGACTCTGAGACCCAGATCAGTTAGCACTTCGCCGCGAGATTATAAATTGTGAGAACTCATGCAGAGTGTCGTAACTATTAAAATCAAACACCAAGCATGTAATTAAATTATAAAATTCTAAAATGATATCAATTAGTTAAAAATTCATATGATGATCACAGAGAGATATGGAAGATAGAAACAACCTTGAGGAGGAAAGGTGCAAGAGGAAGAAGGGATGAGAGAGCTGAGAGGAACGCGATGATGAGTACGTTGAAGCTCAGTGTCTTCTTCTCGTGTTGCCGAAACCAAGCTTTTGTTCTTAGAAATGGAGGACGAGAAGACGAAGAAGAAGAAGAAGTAAACCAGAGAAAGAGAAGAAAAGAGCACAGGATTAGAAGAAGAAGAAAAAGAAGAAGAAGAAGCCATAGAAAGAAAGAAACTAAAAGATGGTTAGTTTCTTTTTCTGTGATTCAGGAGGCCACACCACACAGGATACAATCTCAGTCGGGATTGCAGGCTTTTATAGGACAAATTTCGCGGCTGGTCTTAATAATATTAATATCAAATTAGTTGAGTCTCATGTGGATTGCATAAATTAAGTTTAAAATTGTAGTGTTCAATCGTATATCTTAATATAAATTTTAAATTTTTATTGATGTTGATGTATTAGATATTTGTGCATATATAGAGGGGTGTTTGAAAATAAAGACTTACATCGAGTGTTGATTGTATTTTAATTAAATTATCAATAGTAATTAACCATCGATTATATATCCTAATACGAGTTTATGAGATTTAATTTATTTTAGTAACTCCAAATTCTTTCAAATCTATGATATAATTAACAATGTCAATAAAGCCACTATATATAATGATCATCTTTCCACTTATCGAAACACACTCAGCTCTAACTCTTTTTTTTTTTTGGTCTGCAATATTTTTTTATATGCATAACTATATGACTGGACCATATTTAGATATTGCTTGTTAGATTTCTCATATCAAGTATAATAAAAGACAATACTCTACTAAAATAGTTTAAATCATTTGGTTAGATACTTCTTAAATTAATAATATTAGAAGGCAAAAGAAGTTTAATCTTTATTTTTTTTTTTTGTGGAAAAGTTAGGATTGAGGTCTTTAAACATAATATTTATATATAATCTTCATTTTATAGCTCCTCAGATTAAATCTTATCTATAGGATAGTTTTTAATACGTAATGACTCATTCAAGTAGTTATTGATACTTAGCTTGTTTTTCTTGAACATATATAAAGTCTAAATTTAAATTTTGTAAATAAAAAACTTATTGCTAATGCTACGAGGGTATTTATAGTCATGAAATCTGACCTAGCTAGCATAGTCCAGATTATAGTGCTCCACTTGGGAGCCTTCCTACATGTTCACAAGTATAATGGGAAATTGTAACATGATGAATAATTCACTGAGTGATTTAAGTCTATTAATACTTGAAAATTAATTAGAAGCATTCCTCACCTATATCTTCTCCTCCTACACTTGAGACTTTATAATTTTTGAGTATTATATGATAAGATCATTTATAGTTTTGATATATCTAACGTTTATTATCATGTAATATTTTTTCTATTTTAAATTATAAGATATTTTTAAATAAAATTTTATATACCAATAAAACTCATTAAATACACTTTATAATCTTATTTTTTTAAGATAAAAATATAAATTTTTAAAAATACCTTTTATTTAATACCCATTGATGAAAAAATATTGAAGAAAAAGAATATATGAGAAAAATAATATCAAAAAAGTATCATTAATAAAATTTTATTTTTATCAAAGTGTTTTATATTTTAAAATATTATATTTTTAAAAAATATTTTATAATTTAAGATAAAAGAGTATAAGATACTTAAGAGTGTTGAATATGACACTTATTAGTGGATCTAAATTCCACGAGTACCTGTTTCTCCCACTATCTAAATTTTCTATATATAATGGCCCACGCACGTGAGTCTTCCTATGATTTTGCGAGTAATTTGGAAAAACCAAAACAACTTGTCCCACTATCTTAATTAACTTCCTCTTTTTAATCATCAATTTCAGCTAATGGATGGGTTAGTTCCTATTCCTTCGTGCTTCACATTTTCTTTTCCCTTTTACCGGTAATGAATTTTCAGATATACTCTAATTAACCTTTTTATCACGAAATTTAAAAATGCAGTACTTTGGGTTTAGATGGATCAAGCTGTATAAGATTTTCAATTCAAATTAAGATACTGAAAATTATACTAGTTATTGAACCAATCAAGATATCAATTCAAATGTTCATAGTTTAAATTATAGTCAAGATCAAATTAATCATACAAGAATTTCATTTTTGAGTTCAACTGCTAGATTAATCATAATAAAATTGGGAAAGTTATAATATCTTTTGCAGTGCCTTTTCCTTGTCAATTTTATTTTTCTCTTTAATTATTAGTTTTTATATAAAATAGGAAACATTCCCGTATCCTAAAGTTTTGAAACCATCGAGTTTTGTATTATTTTTTTTACCATTCTTTAAAGAAAATAGCATAATAAAAAAATTATAAAACTTTTAGAAACTATATAGTACGTTTTTTTTTTAACTTTTAGAAGATTTAAACTATATAGTTGTTTATGTTTTATTGCTTAGGTAGTGTTTGTACTGGTTTTTCGTTTTCTGAACTCTTTCAAGTAATTGTAATTCCGTTTGCTCTGCCTATGAAATATTTTGCTGGTTAAAAAAAAAAAAACCTTTATCTTCGGCAAAGCACACAAACTTTTTAATACCCTTTAAAACCTATTTTTTAAATAGTGAACTAATTTTTTTAATAAATAAAAAAATTAATTAAATAGAATCCACGCTTTTCATCCACTATGAAGTAACTTTTTTAGGATTTAAATTGTGAAGTAATTTTTTATTGTAGAAAAAACACAAGACTTTTTTATGCACTTCACTTTCTCCAACTATTAGATAAAAGGAATGGTCAGATCCTCTCGCTTTTCACTCACTGCACAAAATCCATTGTATGTGATCCCGACCCTTCTTTTATCACGAGTCAAATAAAGTTTTGCAAGTGTTCCATGATAAGGCTAGCTCTATTGGGCCTAACAACTTGTAATTTGGAACTACTCCCTAACTGCGTAACCAAAGCCCAAAGGACATATAGAGTGATAAAAAAAAACAAATGGGGGAATCAATCCAACGTCATTCGATGAAATGTCTTACTTTATTCATTAGAATTTTAAAATGTAGAATCATTTTACATTTGTTTCACATAATATAGACATATAAGTATGTATATGGCAACAATCAGTTTTTTTCTTGGTAAACTTATGCTTAGTAGCATGTAACCAGAATTACAAACAGACACTGTATATAATACATTTAAACTCTTTTTTGCTCCCCTTAAGGATTTTTTTTTCCCTCTAACCAAGCTAAACTTTAATGTGAAACAATTTTAAGAAGAGCTGCTTGTTAAAAAAATCAATAGATCAAATTGAGTATAAATAGACACATAAGCATATCCTTACTCATTATGCTTACATCTCTATTTACAATTTAGATTAATCTATCGATTTTTTTAGATAATAATATATACTAAATTATTATTTTTTTAATAGAGCAATTATTAGATGCAACCGCCAGGTCTAAACCCAACCTTACGACCACCAACATCATACACTACCTCCAAAGTTTTCTGCTGCACATTTCCAAAAATAGCCACACTTCTTGCATCTTGATTCGGAGCAAACGCCAAACACACCTGCGTTTCACTCACTACGTATAGAATCCCTCTTGCGTCTAAGTCCACGTCCACCCCACCTCCAAACGACAACATTATTTTCGGAACGAGAAAAGTCTTGTACTTGCTCAGATCGTAACACGTGTCCAGTATCGATGCCGGATCCGCCTTTGGGTACTTCGACATCGCCTTCTGGAACGCGTCTCTTAGGGGACCGTACGCCCCCGGAGGAAGCCTTGTGATGACGGTGCCGGAGTCGATGATCGTGCCGGAGGAGAAAGTGGAAGCGGAGATGGGGAGCCTCGTTCCTCCGAGGGTGATTCCGGTGAAGTCGAGGCCGTAGAAGGAGGAGCCCTGTGAGATGGAAGAGAAAGGGGTGAACTTCACGTTGCCGGAGGGGTATCCGCCGCCTCCAAAGGCGAGGTAGCCGACGGAGCTAGCTCTGGAGGGGATGCAGTAGGAGAAGATCTTGTGGTACTTTTGGGCAGTTTGCTCAACGAAGGAGATGGGGTTTCGGCCAAGGCCGAGGAGCCCGGCGGCTCTGCCAAAGAGACCATCGTTGTTCTGACCACAGCCGAAGAGGAAGTCCTCAACTACGTCGTTCGGAGATATGGTCAGCGTTTCCTTGGCGAAGTAGCCAACAGAGAAGGACGAGTCACCGTATTGAATACCGTAGATGCAAGCTCCACTTGACTTGGAACATCCCGGATCATTTCCTGCACAGATGGTGTTAATCCATAATTCAATATAACGAATAAGATAGAACGAATATACATACATACGCACATATATATGTAAGTGTACCTGTGGCAGAGGAAAGCTGGGAACACTGCAAAGAAGAGCAAGAGACGTTGGAGTAAGAAGAAGAGTGAGAAGGATCGAAGATGGCTTCTTTCTGGGAGTAGCAAGAGCGAGCACAGGGCTCGCACTGAGTCCAGGTGAGGTCACTTCCGGTGTCGAATATCAGAGAGAGGTCTCTCTTGGGGCTTCCAAGGCTCACCGTGACGAAGTAGTTTCCGGAGCCGAGAAGGGTGCCGGACTTGGCCGGAAGTTTATCCTGGCCCAACCCCTTGGAACTCTCAAGTTCATGGCTGTCATGTGTTTTGGAGAGCTTGGAGTGGATTGATCTCACTCTAGCTACGTCGTACTTGAGGATTTCACTGTGTGGAATTGCGAACGGAGCATTCAGTGACGATGACGACGACGACGACGATGTGTGTTGCTTCAGCTTGGAACACGGCCCATGCTTGTGCATCACTTGCAACGATCCTTTCCTGATCACACCTGTACGTGCGTTGTGTTCCAAAATATTTAGTGCCTTATGGCTTCTATGTAACTATGTGTGGATTATTAACCCAAAAAAAAAAAAACTATTGTGTGGATTCTATTCTGTCCAATAATTGTTAGGTTGAAAACGAAATACAACTAGAGAAGATTTGATTAAATAACAATATTTTGTCAATTTGCTTTACTCTTCATGACTACATGGCAATAATTATCAATGTCGATATACAAAATATAAAATATAATGTTATGAGCTCCTGCTCCTAGTTTGGTGTAATTGGTTCTTGTTTTGTATGGGCTTAGCCCCGTTTGCTTTAAAAAAATATAACAAATAATATATATATGAAACACAAAATGTAAGAAATGAAACCACGTCCCGTGATTATTATCAATTATGAGCATATGATGATATCATTAATTTGAATTGTTCAAATTAAAACTGAAATTATAAAAATTTATCTTAAATTATTGTCATATTTTTAATTTGAAACGATTATTCATTTTAATAGATGACAAATATAAAGTAAAAATAATTTTATAACTCACTTTTTAAAAAAGTATTCATTGCTTATTAACAATTTAAATATGAACTGTCCAAATTAAATTTGGACAAACTAAATCTCTACAGCAATGAGCATGTATGGTAGCACTATGTATAAGGACCCATTTAATATGAATGGAATATTATGAGAGAAAACATTAAGAGGCATATTCATATTAAAAAAGATAAAATATTAAAAGTAATGCACACAGGTTAATCAAATTATACACTTGACCCAACCAGCTGAAGGTGGTGGGGGTTCCGATAATATCAGTTAGGTCCACAAGCAATGCATTAATTTGATTTCTTAAAATTAATAAATAAGTCTTTTGTGGTTAATTAATTAGCTAATAATGAGCACTAAATCAAGTGGCTGAAGGTACTTAAGCACCAATTATTCTATATTTGCACTTTTAATTTGTTAGGCATATCAAGAGAGAAATTAATTAGTAATTATGTAGTAGCTAACTTTAAGTAATTACAAAAATCTTTTTCTCTCTTGTTGTCTTGTGGCTCTCAATGGTTGATAGCGCACAATGTAGAGTGCAGAAAGCTACCCACCATCGCCTAATTTTTCAAACACTAGCTGTTGTCAACAATTTTCAAAGCTCATTCAATGATTAAAGTAACTTTTCAATAATACATGTTAAATTAATTCTGAAACTGTTAATAATCTAATAATTGAACCCTTTCTTTTTAGTAATTTTTGGCCTCTTAAAACCTTTCTTAAAATTCGAATAACATCGTGTAAAGAAAAACATTATTATTAGTTTCTTCTAATTTTCATATTATTAGAACAAATATGAAAATAAAGTGAAAAGGATTGAAAATACTTAATCCATTTTTTTCCCCAAAATCTTTGAATTGCATGCAGGAAAGGGAAATTTCCGGGATACTATGATTAGCCTCTTGAGCCAATTATCTATCATAATTGACCCATCAAATCAGCTTTTAACTTCGTCAACACCATACCAAAAAAACAAAAACAAAAGAAAAGAAAAACAGGCTGGCATATATTATTGAGAAAACTTTCAACTTTCAGTAAGAAAATAAATAACTAAAATATAATTAAAGAATACAGGTTTATATTAAAATTAAAGCCAAAACAAATAATAAAGGTAATAATTATTAAAAACCATTTCCTAATAAATAAATTAAATCGGTAAGGCAATTAAATGAATATGTGAATCATAGCTCTTGTTGCTCTATCTGTCTATCCATAGTATGTGGTGGTGGGTACCATACGTGAATATTCTATCTACATAACCCAACTATTATATTATACAATTAATATTTGGGAAAAGGACTTGAATGGACCATTTAGATAATTACAAATATTCTCTGGCCAAAGAATAATAATAACTACACACTAAATCCACGCATATCCATGTACTTTGTGGAAATGAAAAAATTTCATGTCACTTAAATCCTCTGTATTTATAAGATGACGAACGACAGTGCTTTGTTAAAATTAAATAAGAATCATGAGAAAATATATGTATTTTTTTATTAAAAAAAGTAAGCTGTATACAAAATTTTAAATTTCCTTTTCATGCATCACTTTCTCTGTAGACAATTGTCACGGGCTGTCGAAGGTTGTTTATTAATCATTATATATGCTAGGCTGCTAGCCAGCTATTTTAAATAATATAATCCCAATTTCAAGATCATTTTATATATTATGTATACAACCAAATTACTATCAAGCTTGATTATTATTTTTATTAAAAAAGCGCGTGAGTGCGCGTGTGGTGTAGATTGTAAATGTCTAATTATAAATCTATAATTCATAAGTCGCCCCCTTCACACAAACTTTTGAAACATTGATTGGTAAACACTCCAGCTTTCGTAACCACAACATAATAAATATTAATTAATAATCAAAATGATTACTTCCGCAACTTATACAAACCTTTCCAGCCACTTTGATATGAAATTAAAACTCAACCATATCAGTAATCATTTTAACTAAAAGATTATAATCTGCGAAATATGAAAACTACTGCATGCAGAGTATTATTATAGAAAGCAAATCAACACCATGCACGTAATTAAAAATATGCCATTAATTGAGAGAGAGAGAGAGAGAGAGAGAGAGAGAGAGAAGAACCTTGAGGAGGAGAGTTGCAGGAGGAAGAAGGAAGGAGAGAGGAGAGAGAAACACGATGATCATGATGATGATGAAGTTGAAGTTCAGTGGCTCCTTCTCTTATTGCAGAAACGAAGCTTTTGTTCTCAGAGAAGAAGAAGAAGAAGAAAACCAGAAAAGGAGCGGCAGAGAGGAATAATGGATTAGAAGAAGAAGCCATAGAAGGAATGGGAAAATGATAGACTCTTTTTGTGAATGAGGAGGCCTCAGAGTATACACTCTGTCCCAATGGTTGGCCTTTATAGCCTAAATTTCAAGGCTGGTCATATTAATATTAATATTAAATTAAATTAGGACAGTGCCAAGTAAGTTCCGCGGAATATTAAAAAACATTATGTACCAACTACCACTAGAGAGGAAATTAATTATGCCAACTTAATCAAAAATTTTAAGTTTAAATTTTAGAGATAGAGCAACATTTAATGATAGAGCTTTAGTCTAAAAGAATCCCAACCTGGCTCGATCAGAGTTAGTCATAACCATTAGTTTCCGAACATTGAATGACTTAATTTGCTACCAAAAAAATATTAAGAAATATGTGCTTTCATACAACTTGTAATTAAATAATATGACTAGTATAGTATTAATGTTGGTGTGAGTATTAAAAGTTCTTGTCTTTTATTACCTTCGGTGTATCAACCAAATCTATAGTTAAAACTTCAAAGTGAATTTTTGTATATCCTCCTGATATTTAGAAAAATTATATGACTTGCTATGAGTGTTATACTGAATACTGATAATGGTATACATGATTGGTTATTAATTTTATTACAAGTCACCTATTATAAGAGACAAACTGTTCCATTTCATAGAGCTTGGCTTCCCTGTGGACACAGTGTGGTGGCACTATCCAGTCTTCCAATAGAAAACACCCAAATAGACCAATAAGGGCCGAACAATCCTCTTTTTTAAAACATTACAACCTACGATCCCAACACTCTCCAATCATTTTTTTTTATCTGAGGTATTTGAGATCTTTTTATTTGGGCTGTTTTGTCTCCTACATGTTTTGTCCAAAAACTTTGAATTAAAAATTTGAAGGTGTGAAATTTAACGAGTGAACAATAAAAAATTAGAAAATCACTAGTACAAAATATAAAATTTATGGGGTACTTTTTACATCGGTTGGAAGGCAAACGGTGTAAAAAATAAAGGCGGTGGTATTTTTGTAATTATATTGAATTATGTAACACTTTTTACACCGGGTATCCAAGCACCCAGTGTAAAAAGAATGAGAGGAGACTAGGTGTTCCCAAAATAAGAGAACACTTAGTTTGTGATGGGATTTGCAAAAATTATACAATATGGATTTGGCATGGTGAACGATTGAAAAATTACAGTAACACATCTCAATGTGTGGAAGTTGATAATCTTGATGATGAAGTAGAAATGAATGAAGATCGATTAGAGGACATGATCCGTGATGTTGGGGAAGAGGCTTTTGAACGAGCACATGTGTATACCAAGGTTCAAGCGTTTGTTTGCAAATACTAATGATGCAAAGAACTTAATGTGGTATGCAAATGGGAGGATATCTGATGGAAAACTTTGACATCCAGTCGATTCTCCTCAATGGAAGAAAATTGATCAATTGTTTCCCGAATTTGGCAATGAGCCAAGGAACTTGAGGCTTGGACTTTCTACCGATGGAATGAATCCTTATGGTAGTCTTAGTAGTATACATAGTTCATGGCCTGTTCTTTTGGTGACTTACAATCTATCACCTAAGTTGTGCATGAAACGAAAGTACATGATGCTATCCATGTTGATTTCGGGACCAAAACAACCGAGAAATGATATTGATATTTACCTAAGACCTCTGATTAAAGATTTGAAAGTATTGTGGGAAGTAGGTGTGGAAATGTTTGATGCAAATCAGAAGAAGAATTTTAAATTACGTGCTATGATCTTTTGTACTATAAATGATTTTTCTGCATATAAAAATTTGTCTGGTTATAGTGTGAAAGGTCATAAAGCTTGTCCAATTTGTGAAGAAAGCACAAACTACCATCAACTTCAATATAGAAGAAAGACAGTCTACCTTGGCCATCGGAGGTTTCTTAGACGAGATTACCCATATCGTAGATTGAAGAAAGCTTTTCATGGTCACCAAGAACACAATGATGCTCCGGATGCTTTGACTGGGGATCAAGTATATGAACGTGTGAAAAACATTAATATTGTCTTCGGTAAGACTAAAAAGAATATTGGTGCAAAAAGCATATGGAAAAAAAGGTCTATCTTTTTTGACCTCCCATATTGGCGCAATCTTGAAGTAAGGCATTGTATTGATATTATGCATGTGGAAAAAAAACGTTTGTGATAGTATTATTGGAACGTTTCTGAACATACCAGGTAAGACTAAGGATGGTGTGAATGCAAGATTGGATTTGAAAGAAATGGGAATACGGGAAGACTTACACCCAAGACCAGAGGTAAACGAACTTATTGCCCCCTAGCCTCTCATACATTGTGCAAATCTGAGAAAACAAGTTTTTGTGAGTGTTTACATGGAATCAAAGTTCCTTTGGGGTATTCTTCAAATATTATGAAGCTTGTATCTGTGAAAGAGTTGAAACTGGTAGGCTTAAAATCTCATGATTGCCATGTCTTGATGCAACAACTATTACCTTTGGCTATTCGAGGCATATTAAAAGAAGATTTAAGACTTACAATAACCAGACTTTGTTTCTTTTTCAATGCTATATGCAGTAAAGTTATTGATCCCCGTAAACTGGAAGAGTTAGAACAAGAAGCTTGTACTATCTTGTGCCAACTTGAGATGCACTTTCTTCCTACATTTTTTGACATTATGGTTCACTTAATAGTGCATCTAGTAAGGGAGGTAAAATTGTGTGGCCCTATTTATTTGCGATGGATGTACCCAGTTGAGAGATACATGAAAATACTGAAAGGGTATGTCAGAAATCCATTTCGACCCAAAGCATCAATAGTTGAGAAATATGTTGCTGAAGAAGCTATGGAGTTTTGTTCTGATTACTTGTCAAGTACAGAATCAATTGGACTTCCTAAATCTTGTCATGAGAAAAGGCAATATGGTCAAGGCACACGTGGAGTATCAGTGAAGAGCATGAATCATGATGAATTACAAGAAGCACATTTGTATATCTTGAATAATATTGATGAAGTTAAAGATTACATATCTTCTCATAAAGAACTTTTAAAGGCAAAAAATTATCGAATGAGAATGACAGAACAAAAGTTGTTGAAAGAGCATAATAGGACTTTTGTGAATTGGTTCAAGCAGAAAATTTTGAATGAAAGTGGTGTTTCTGAAACAGTTAAATGGTTAGCTGGAGGTCCTAACTTTGATGTTATATGTTGGAGTGCCTATGATATTAATGGGTATTCCTTTTATACAAAGTCTTTGGATGAGAAGAGTACGGTGCAAAATAGTGGAGTTATGATAATGGCTGAAGCCGTACACTTTTCTAGTTCAAAAGATATGAAACCTAAACTAGCATTCAGGACTTACTTTGGGGTTATTGAAGAGATTTGGGAGGTTGATTATACAAAATTTAGAGTTCCTGTTTTCAAATGCAAGTGGGTTGACGTCAATAGTATTCGTGATGATAAGTTTGGATTTACAATGGTTGATCTTAAAAAACTAACTTTTGGAGATGAGCCATTTATTATGGCAAACCAAGCTAAACAAGTTTTCTATGTCACGGATCCAGCAAATAAAAATTGGTCAATAGCACTTAAAAGAAAAAAGGATGATTGATAGTAATGACGATCATGAATCAAATTTTGATATTTCTGAAACTCCTAACTTCTCAAGTGGGCTACCAATTTTGGATGTGGTAGATGAAGTAGATGATGAACATGCCATAAGAAGTGATCACCATGAAGGGATATGGGAGAATATCCCTATATGAGTTTAGTTTTGAAATTAAAGTATGTTAATTTAGTTCAATTAAATTTATGTTGTGGGATTGTTTTTCTTAATTATCTTATCTTTGATTATTTTTTTAATTAATTTCATTTATTTGAATTAATAGGAATATGGAGAATCAAGATGATGACACTCAGAGCCAATCAATTGGTGATGTTGCTCCTAGTGGGGAGCTAAGTCAGGGCACCCCTAGTGAGGAGCCGAGTCAGAGCCAGTCTGTGAGGAGGGGGAGACGTGGCACACGATTAAGAGATCTGACATTAAGTAGGAGTGCTGGGCGTAGGTTACCAATTCAATTTGACCGGAGATGGAATCCGATAGGGCCACATAAAGCTAAGTTTGTTAGTTTTCTTGGCCTCCTCTCACGTACCAAGCCTCCTATTGTATTTGAGGACTGGCTTGATGTGCCAGAACGTGTGAAGGAACAGATTTGGGAAAGTATTCAGGTAAGTAATTAAAAATTAAAATTTTTTTATAGTTATATATTATTGGGCAATTATTGATTATTATCTTATGTCTTCATTGTAGCTCACATACGATGTTCCATCTAATCAAGATTGTCGACACAAATTGATTTCTTACTGTGGAACACGTTGGAGAAATTTTAAGACTGATCTTGCTAGAAGATATATCTTTATCGAGGTGCCAGAGGGTCAGGCTCGTCCCAATCCTCTTGATACATACCAGTTCCTTGATGAAGATACTTGGGAAGAATTTGTCAGGATTCGGACTTCTGAAAAGGCTATGGTTTGTTAACTTTTAATTTATTTAAGTTTTATTTAGATTTACTTTAATTATAAAACTAAAATTCAATTTATTAACAGGAAAAACGAGCTAAAGGACGAGAAATTGCTCGGCAGAATCAATGCCCCCACACCTTATCTCGTGGAGGTTATGCTAGAGCTGATGATATACTGATGGCAGAGAAACAGAAGAAGAGAGAAGAAGAAGCCAAGTCTGATCCTTCCATACTCCTTTCTCCACCATCACCTGTCTCTCGAGAGGAGAAATGGAGATATGGACATCAGTACAAGAAAGGAGGCTATACAAGTGAGACAGCACGGGAGATTGCCGAGAGGATTGTAAGTAAAATTATTATTCCTTGTCCCTTTAAATTTCTATACAATTGTATATATTATTAATTAATATTCTTATTTTTATATTATAGGATACTCTTAAGGAGCAACAAGCTAAGGAAGCTTCATTTCAGAGGGCAGAAATGATATCTAAATAGTTGCTACAGGCAAGCCAGAGCATCCGGGTCGTGTGAGGGGCGTTGGAT